AAAAAAAGCTAAGTATTATATGATTGATGATTCTTGATAATTTACTCAATAAATCTGCTAAGTTCAATTAAATTTTTATAATTGTGTGAATAGAATATAAAAATATAGATTACGTTCTTTAAACCACTATTTACACAATTTTGAAGTTACTTAAGCACTTATCAAAGTGATTGAGTATTACTTCAATTACATCAGAGTAGTACTGGAGAACCTATAATATATTAGTTGATATTATATTTTATATTGACTTTGATAGCAAAAATTCTTCTAAATCTAATGGTTTTCAGGGCTGAAGTTTTTGCGAAGCACTTTCAAGCACTCGATATCGTGCTTTGTTATATGACTTTATCCAATTGTTAGCTTTATGAATTTTTAATATTGTGGCTTTCTCGATACTCTGAACAAAAACCTCACTCACATGGTTGGTTGCAGTTATTGTTTGTTGCTATTCTAAGTATTTTATATAATTAGAAACTGAAATGATTAACTCTTCAAGTGCATTGTACAACCAGGTAAAAGTTGGTGACTGAATCCACAAAGAAGCGGCATGTTGTGCAAGATCTTGACAATGAAGGTTAATTTCATCTATAACAATTGGCTTTCTAGTTTCTTTATACGATTCTGGGTTTGCGTAGTTTAAAAACTCTTGAAAAAGATGCGGAATATGAAAACTTTGATCTTTAAGTTTTTATGGTTGCGAATATCCAAATACCAAAGAATTTCTGATAGAGAAAAAACAAATTGTTTTCCTTGGTTATCTGCATATGTCTGTATTAACCAGCTACTGTTGTGAGATTTGATCCAATTTACTATATCTAACCATAATAATTATTTTCGGTTTGGTTTTGCCGAGTATACAAAATTGGGAACATATAATTTATTTTTTTGTCTTGCTGTTTGCATAAAAATATCCAAACCATTTTGATAGTTATAAAATATTTGTTCTTCTTTTAGGTGATAATAAATATTTGCTCCAAATGTATTAGTTAATTTGATAATATTACAATCAGAACTTGTTGGTATAGCTTCGGTTGAATTTGTTGATTTACTTATTTCGATCGATTTGACTTGTTCAAAATCTAAATTTAGCACCAATATTTCTTCAGTAAGTTTTTGAAAAAATTCTTTGACTGACATTTCATAGAGAATTGGATGAATATACTATCCGTATAATATTTTTAAGCCCCGAGAGATACGTATATTTGCAAAGAGCATTTTTTCATTTTTAGATAAATTAGCAAGCAAAGGATCAAAAGAATTTTAAGCAAATGCGACCTGATAAACAATAAACAGGAAGACAAACACAAAAATCCAAAGCTATTAAAGTATTTTAAGGCGTAAATATATAAGTTTTACTAAAAAGATTTTTTATTTATTGGCAGATAAGTATTTTTATTTAATCACACTATATCTTTATTTAGATGATATTTATACAGGTTTTTATAATCTAATATAACATATAACGATTACTATAAACCTGCGAAGTAACAATTATTGATGTTATTTTGATAATTAGAATATCAGAAGAAAAAAAATAGTATATACCTATGGACGTCTTGAAAGAACACGCACTTCATATATCAGTAAATTTGTAATGTTGTATTCAGTTAGACTCATAGAACCTGTTTTTGTCTTGAAATAACTTGTGTGTGCTATTTCGTACTTATGGAATATATATATTCGAATAGTACAACTATTTGTAATCATGCTTGTTTATATTGGTATGCTTTTCATTTCATTTTTTTTATTCTATATATTAATAATGACTAACTATAGCACACAATCTCTTCTGAGTAGAGGTCAGATTCTTTGAATATCCATCATAACTATTTAGTAAATATTTGCGGGTTTTGGATATTCGTAAATTGTATTGGATGAATATTCAGATTTTGGATAGATCCACATATTATTATTTGTAACCGTGAATATTCACACAAATATTCACGAATATATACGAATCAATTATATTGATTATGAACCTTCAACTATTCGTGAATTTCATGTAACC